CCGAATATTGTAACCGATGGAAATTAGACACGCTCGTAACTGTTCGGGGTCGAGGCCTTGTCTATCCTTATCGAAGTGGTTGAATGAGGCGCGATATTCATTGATCTGCTCTTCAGAGATACCTTTGCTGTCACGCATCAAAATCTAAACGCTTTACAATTACTCATGAATAATATTAAATAGAGGCACAATCCGCAGTGATCGTGTGGGCGGAGCCAGAAGTAAGGAATCGCTACTGCGGCATCCCCACCAGAACCTAGTTGCTTTGGCACGACATTATTACAGTAAATCAAGTTGACTGTTTTGGGAACGCGAATGAAAAAAAAACGCGTTGAGTTGCTTTCTACAAGTCGCCGGATTTCGGAACTAAAGACCCGCACCCTGTAGATCGGACCAGAAAATTGAATTCATGAAACTATAAACCCACTTGGTTCTCCAACTCGTTAATCGTTCTATTGATGCTTGTAATCAAACTCTCCCAACCAACACGAAGCGATTCCATAGAATATCTGAAAAAAGAGCAAGTTTAAAAAAATTCTCGGTGCTAATCATTTGGGAGGGGCTCCAAAGAACCCCCTGTATAAAACTGGGATTAACATTAACTGAATAGAATAACCTTACTTCAAACTAGTTCACCCAGCCCAGAGCTTCTTTTTAATGAGAGCCTAGGCCAAGGTCTCCATCTCGGTACTTCTCATTTTGCACAAGGAATCCCTTCAATCCCCCCCCCCCAAACTGGCAGCAACAAGTTTTCCTCTGAAAAAAGCAATGTTTGTACCTGCCTCTGTTCTGTTTCTCGAGACAAATCTTCTCCTGCATCTCCTGGTGAATCCTTTCCAGTTCATCCAGATTTGGCTTGTAGTTAAGCGCGTCATGATGAATTCCACGAAGTTGGTGGATGGCATCTTCAAGACGACCACGCCCACCAAGACCAATTGCGAGCACCTGAAAGACGAAGCTAGGGAGACGAATGGAAAAAATGACTTCTTGAAAAATTGCGATTTGAATTGTTATTATTTGATAACTGCGTTTAACGCCGCAGTGCGCGATCCGAAAGCTATCACAAGAATGCTGAGTTGTGGGCCAAAAGTCGCACCACGGACGGGATTCGAACCGCATGTTCTGCTCAAGCGGCAGTTGCGTTACTTATTGCTGCTACCGCTTATTAATTCAGAACGGTGCGGGCTCGATACCGTCCGTTGGTCCAACTTTTGCTCCACAACTCAGCACTCTTGTGATATCGATGGAAATGCTTTTGTCACAAACGAATGGAACAACAAGTGGCAAATATTTCATGAAAAGAAGAGTAGATTAAGAGAGTCGAAAAAAAACTTCAACGAAAAGAAGTTCGCAAGACCCTTTGTAACACTGCCCGCAGTCCTCAAAACTCCGAACAGATTGACGGGTGCGAGAATCTGGGATCCAACCCAGGTGAAAAGAATCAAACAATGAGCAAATGTCACTATTATGCAATGACTAATAATCCACTAATAGTCGATTGCCAATATTTTCAAAGCGCGCCGTGCACCTCACTTTCTTTGCAGAATAGGTAAGGCGTTGGAACAGGAATTATCCATAACAAACTGGGAAGGGGGGGGGGTCCCTCTACCACTACTACCATTAAATTTATAACTACCCATTAGATGCTTTTGAAAAGACGGATTGCTCAGTTGCTTGAGGCGAGAGCCTGCTGGCGCTCAGTGTTGCTAACCATTCAGCGTCATTCTGGTGCCGAAGAACAACATTCAAGCGAATAGTGGTGTAGGTCTGGGCGGGCACCAATGGACTCGAAATCTGGACGAAAGAAAATTCAGACTTCTTTCGCAATACCAAAGGTACTGGAAAAGAAGTCTGAATTTTTTTGAAGGTCGGGAATGGCCCTATTGCTCTGTGAATGTCTGAGCTCTCAAGTCCCTCATGAATACTCCTCGCCTTTGAAATCACTTTCTAAATTCTATGAACAACTAGAACAGCATTCATTGCTCTCAATAAGCTCTTATATAAATGAAAGGTTGAGTTGAA